TAGGTTAAATTACTTTAGTTAAAATGAGGACATTCTAAATATGGTTAAAGTGGAGTAATTTGAGTTGTCTGATGCACACAAGCTTGTTTTTTGTTTTGTTTGCACTGCTGTGTGCACTTAAATTGATGTTGATGGTTAAATTAGTTATTGGTTCAAATGTACTGAGTTCTGAACATGTCATCTAAATGTAGAAATGCCTTGGGCATATGGTTCTTGTTTCAAAAACAATGCAGCATTTTATTTATTTGTTTGTCCTGCTTTTACAACATACAGTATAAGCACTCCTATGTTGTTGTTGTAGTACTTTACCGTATCTGTAGCTATTAACATGATTGCTCATATTTCAAGCCATATTATTCCTGACCCCTTATTTTGCATCAGTTTTCATCAACCAGCCACCATTCAAAACCGCATACATACATCTGTTTTTTCCCCCTCACAACACGCCTTTTCAGAATTTTAAAAACCCTAAATCTAATTTAGAGAGGACAAATAAAAGTAGAAGGTGACTTTTTTGTAGATCAAGGCTAATTAGATTGACAACAAAGGGTCTGAGAGTCTCACAGTCTTGTCCTCACAACAGTGTAAAATAAATGTGATGCAGCAGTGAGCCAGAGTCATTGCAGTTCATTATGTGTTTGAATTAGGGCTGTCAGTCGATTAAAATATTTAATCGCGATTAATCGCATGATTGTCCATAGTTAATCGCGATTAATCGCAAATTAATCGCACATTTTTTATCTGTTCTAAATGTACCTTAGAGGGATATTTTTCAAGTTTTTAATACTCTTATCAACATATGAGTGTACAACTATGCTTTATATGTTTGTTTATTATCATTTGAACAATGACAAATATTCTCATGAATATTAAACACAACAACCTCTGAACATTACAAATATTCGCCTCAATTCAACCTAGAACCTCTCTCATACAATACTGTGTGTGTGTGTGTGTGTGTGTGTGTGTGTGTGTGTGTGTGTGTGTGTGTGTGTGTGTGTGTGTGTGTGTGTGTGTGTGTGTGTGTGTGTGTGTGTGTGTGTGTGTGTGTGAATGTGGAGGATCGTTGGAGCTATGTGCAGCTCAAGGCATATATGCCTGTGTGTATGAGCTGTGTTCCGGCACTATCCGTGCTGAGTGTGCTGTCTGGCTACCTGCATAAAGTCAAGTGCTCGGCGCAGTTGTCGGCGAAATGTCGCTCCTCTGTTTTCATTGAAACAGCTCCTTATATCCGTTAGCTCAGCTAGCTAGCACCAGATGCTAACAACAACACGTAAGGTGTGCTTCGCTCGCGCCACACATACACACACCCTCCCGGTCCTCCCGATGGCCAGTCCGGGCCTGCCGGTGAGCGTGGAAGTGTGGTCTGCCACAAGCGGGCAGCAGGAGCGGGGCTGTCAGCATCAGCTTGTAGATGGTATTTTAAACTCGATGCGCTCTGAAACTACGGCGGCCGAGGACAAAAAATACACATGCGTTAATCGCGTTAAAATAATTAGTGGCGTTAATTTTTTTTTGCGTTAACGCGTTATTAACGCGTTAACTTGACAGCCCTAGTTTGAATATATCAAAATGTTCTAAGAAATGTTTTAAAGCACCCAGGACTCTCATTTTTGCCAAGACATGACTTAATACACGATACAAGTTTTAAAGCTTTGCCTGGAAGTAGCAGATTAAGTGATTTAATGGTGGAGCAGGATTGTTAAGAAACCCAATTCCTTGCAAAGTACTTTATATTCTAACAAGAAAACGAATTCCTTACAAAGTACTATTCTATCAGTTGTAAAGTGTTGCACACTTCAAAGTGTATCTAAAAGTATCTTAGTAACGCAAACAAAAGCAAGGAAGAAAAAAGCAAAAATCAGTAAAGTCATCTAACAAAACATATATTTAAAAAAGTAATGTTAGTCAAGTGAAGTTATCAAAACTGCATTGTTTCATCGGAACAGTGTTAAAATCACAAACTCTCCATTTAGAGTTTGATTCTTTAAGAATCTCAATTCATTACAAATTAATGAATATTTTACCAAGTTATAAAGTTTTGCATCCATTAAAGTGTAACTATAAGTATCTTTGTAGGAGAAAAAACAAAAATCATTTAAGTTATTTCCAGAAAACTGGATTGTCTTACTAAAATCCCCAAGTGCCTTTAAGAGTCACAGTCTTAAAGAAAATCTGTTCGTCTTAGTGGGGGTCCTTAGTTTTGGATGATTTGCTGATTGGGGTGGGACTTATTGCGTTGAGTATCTGTATATTCAAAAATATAATGGAAAAAGGAGAGAAAAAACAAATATCACAGTATGTTGAAAAATATGAAAAAAGTAATGTTGTGTTAAAATAACATGAAAGAAATCAAAGTAAAGCATCTAAAAAACATATATTTAAAAAAAGTAATGTTAGTCAAGTAATTCATTAGAAATGAATGAATATTTTACCAAGTTATAAAGTTTTCCATACATAAACGTGTATCTTACAGTTCCTTTGTGAGAGAATTACGCACAAATCTGTCATATCAAAACATTCTATTGCAGTATTTTATCTGTTTTATGTGCTCTATATGTATATATATATTTGTTGCACTGTTGGAGGAGCCTGTGACCTATGTTTCTCATTGACATATCTACACTGTAGCTAATGGGCATATGCCATAAAGCCTTGAAACTTGAAAACTTAAAATGATCAGAAACTGCATTGTCTCACTGAAAACAGCTCTAAAAGAAAACCCAATTCCATACAAAGTACTTAACTTTCTACCAGTTGTAAAGTGTTGCTCACTTCAAAAGTGTATCTAAAAAGTATCTTAGTAACAAAAACAAAAGCAAAAAGCATTAATGTTAACAACGCCTCAAAGGGCGGACTCCTGAGTTCCGTAATGTCCCCCTACCACGGCACTTGGACTATTTACATCATCCAGGGCTCAACACCAGTAAATACACCTCTCTTTATCCGCTCTCCAAGCCTCCAAGGGCGGACTCCTGAGTTCCGTAATGTCCCCCTAACATGACACTTAGACTATTTACATCATCTAGGGAAGCATACCAGTAAATCTTTCTTATAGTTAATAAAGTAATTAAAATATTACAAATACAAGATCAAGGGGGATTAAGATCTTTTAAATTATTATTTTCGGGGTGGGAGGAGGACGGGGTGCGAGACAGTCTCACACAACTTCAAAGAGACTGTCTTAATACTAGTTACAAACACTGATCAAAGGACATACATCAAAGGGCTAATTAGATTGACTTCAAGGGCTAATTAGATTGACATCAAAGGCTTATAACACGCCGGTGCGATATCACACCGGCATGTTATAACACCTCACCCACCTTACATCAAAGGACTGACATCAAAGGGCTAATTAGATTGACATCAAAGGCTTATAACACGTCGGAGTGATATCACACCTACATGTTACAACACCTCACCACCCTCACATCAAAGGACAGACATCAAAGGGTATTTAGATTAGACAACAAAGGGCAGACATCAAAGGCTAATTAGATTAGACAACAAAGGATCTACTACAAGGGGGAATATCACACCTACATGTTACAACACCTCACCCCTCACATCAAAGGATAGACATCAAAGGGTAATTAGATTAGACAACAAAGGGCAGACATCAAAGGCTAATTAGATTAGACAACAAAGGATCTACTAGAATGGGGAATATCACACCTACATGTTACAACACCTCACCCCTCACATCAAAGGATATCACACCTACACGCAATAACACCTCGAACAAAGGGACTCATTAACATATCAAAGGGGCTCATTAGCATAAGTAGTAGTAGGTGTGACCTGTCACAGCACCTGTCACTTTCTATGCATACTAATGTGATTGAAAGGGGATCATTATAACTACTAATATAGTGTAGGACCATACCTATATAAGGCATATTTATACTTTTTTTTTTTCAAAATACCAAACAGATCATGCATTTTATCCATGCCTCATTTGGTCAATTTGAAAAATGTTAGCTCTGTTTTTGCAAGGGTTGATTCTGTGTTTCCTCAATTATTTTCATTATTCGAAATGTATTTAAACATTTTTTTTTTGTTTTTATATGTTTTTCCCAAATTGTTTAAAATGTGTTTTTTTTGTATAATTGTTATTCTTTTGTGTTTTATATAACAGAGTTTTTTGTATGTGTTTCTGAAATGTTAGTTGTGTTTTGACCTCTGGGGCCACCGTAGTTTTCTCTACATGCTCATATATTGGAGCAAAGTCCTTTAAATTAAAGTGGACCTATCATGCTATATTTGAATAATATATTGTAGGGCCATACCTATATAAGGTATATTTATACGTTTTCTTTTTCAAAATACCAAACAGATCATGCATTTTAGCCATGCCTCATTTTGCTCAATTTGAAAAATGTTAGCTCTGTTTTTGCAAGGGTTGATTCTGTGAGCAACAGCACCATCTAGAGGCCTGGCATATGTACTACAGCGTCTCCAGCGCTTTCGAACGGCAATGCCGTGGTTGTCTCCTCCTGATTGGTGGAGTTGGCCCAATAGCCGTCGCGCCACCGTCCTGACGTCAGGACAGTGTTCAAATCTGGATCAGTTTTTATCAGATCCGTTGCAGCCCCTTTTTTAGAGATTTGGGTATGGAGGAAAATAGAGAGGGTTGTGTTTTCTGACACTTGGTGAGTTCCCTGGAACACCGGGGACACATATTCATGTATAAAAGACGTACACAAGTGCATTTTGCATGATCGGTCCCCTTTAATGTACATTTTTTATTTCATCTTCTGTTCTTGTACATATCATATTCTATTTACATGTTCATAGACTTTTAGCACTATTTTGTATTTTTGTATTTTGTTATATATGTTGCATTGTTGGAGGAGCTCAGGTCAGAAGAATTTCATTGCCATTTCTAAACTGTAGCTTATGTGCATATGAGAATAAAACCTTTGAAGTTGGAAGCTGCTTCTCCACTATACGCACAGAAACCCTCCAATAACCCCCCCTCTCCCCCTGTGATGCAGAGAGGCTGTGGATGGCTCCGGAGCTGCTGCGTATGGAGGCGCCTCCTCCTCAGGGAACTCAGAAAGGAGACGTCTTCAGCTTCGGCATCGTCCTCCAGGAGGTGGCAATGCGCCGCGGAGCCTTTTACCTGGAGGGAGACCCCCTCAGCCCCAAAGGTGGGTATCGAAAGTAGTCTGATCACCAGGTATAGAAAGTAGTCTGATTACCAGGTATAAAAGTACTCTGTTTACCAGGTATAGAAAGTACTCTGATTACCAGGTATAGAAAGTACTCTGATTACCAGGTATAAAAGTACTCTGTTTACCGTGTATAGAAAGTAGTCTGATTACCAGGTATAGAAAGTACTCTGATTACCAGGTATAGAAAGTAGTCTGTTTACCGTGTATAGAAAGTAGTCTGATTACCAGGTATAGAAAGTACTCTGATTACCAGGTATAGAAAGTAGTGTGTTTACCGTGTATAGAAAGTAGTCTGTTTACCAGGTATAGAAAGTAGTCTGATTACCAGGTATAGAAAGTACTCTGATCACCAGGTATAGAAAGTACTCTGATTACCAGGTATAGAAAGTAGTCTGTGTACCAGGTATAGAAAGTACTCTGATTACCAGGTATAGAAAGTACTCTGATTACCAGGTATAAAGTACTCTGTTTACCGTGTATAGAAAGTAGTCTGATTACCAGGTATAGAAAGTACTCTGATTACCAGGTATAGAAAGTACTCTGAATACCAGGTATAGAAAGTACTCTGTGTACCAGGTATAGAAAGTAGTGTGTTTACCGTGTATAGAAAGTAGTCTGTTTACCAGGTATAGAAAATAGTCTGTTTACCAGGTATAGAAAGTATTCTGATTACCAGGTATAGAAAGTACTCTGATTACCAGGTATAGAAAGTAGTCTGATTACCAGGTATAGAAAGTAGTCTGATTACCAGGTATAGAAAGTAGTCTGATTACCAGGTATAGAAAGTAGTCTGATTACCAGGTATAAAAGTAGTCTGTGTACCAGGTATAGAAAGTACTCTGTTTACCAGGTATAGAAAGTACTCTGTGTACCAGCTCATAGAGTGCTGTTGTGAACCCCTAAATGTTGAGTACCACAAAGTTTTATGATAGAAATGTAGAGTAGGGTCTCCAGCACGTAGAAGCTGCCGGATGCTAACCTGCATGTTGGGACATTCGCACGATTAGCATAAATTGCGTTAATTAACATATGCAGACAATAGATACAAAAAATGGCTTGGCTGATTTGGTGTGTCAAGGTGTGTTTATCATCATTTTAGCTACTTTCAGATTAAGATTTTGCATAAAACTAAACTAAAAGTTAACTTTAATCTTAATGCATCTCTAAAGATTAAGCTAATACCAAAAAGTTCATAAACATATTCAATACATTATAAAAAGTAAAGAAAGAAACACTTACATATTAATAATGTCACATAATTGATCACATTTAAAGGCAATTTTACAGCAGAATAAGTACTCTTACTTTTAAAACTTGTGTCCACTTTTACTTGAGATTTCCAACGTATGACTTTACCTTGAGATGAAGTATGTTGACAGTCAAGGTACTTTTAGGTAACGGCTCTGAATACTTCGTCCTCGTCTGCAGGCAGCTTTTGCAGAGCGGCTCGTCCTCCTTCTGTATTTAAAAGTGTGATTGTGCAGCTCTTTCTGCCTCATTAGTGAAATGCATCTCTGTGGCTCTTCTGCGTGCCAGCTGGACTCGGCAGTCTTCCTTCTTCTCCAGGTTTATTTCCAAAAACGCTTTCCAGGAATTGATGTGCAGAGGCTTCATTTATTCTGAAACAGGCTCACAGTCAAACGTGCGAACAGCTAGAAATCACAGAGGAACCATTAAAGAAGACATGGAAAAGTTTCTGTTTCCAAACCACAGCCGGCAGGAAGCAGGCGAGCAGAGAGGGTTTCTATGAATGATGGAGGAAAAACAGGTTTCACTTAAAACTCCCATCTCTAACAGGGAGCTCTTTACTCTGTATTGCCCTGTCTCTCCTGTGCTGTATCAAGTCATATTATTCAGCTTAAAGGAGCCCTATTCTGCTTTTGGGGGCTTCCCTTCCCTCTAGTGTGTTCTATAGGTTTTAGTGCATGTCAATGGGCTGCAGAGGCTAAAATCCCTGAGTTCCCTTAATCCAGGGCTGTCAAACTCAATTTCATCGCGGGCTATATTCGCATTATAGTTGCACTCAAAGGGCCGGTTGTAACTTTAAGACTATAAAAAAATAGACCTATATAACTATTTAATATATATAAAATAATGTACTATATTACATTATTGGCTCTGCATTGGATTATTATCGGATAGGGTAATAACTTCATAATTAACTACGTCTGAAAGCAGAAGTCTAGGGCTAATAATTGCAAGTCTCTTCAGTGCGCGTGTCAAAAAACGAAATGCATTGTGGGACATGTAGTTGGGCAACGTGCTTTGGTAAAGCACCATGTAACCGTATAATATAATTGTTATGCATGCTTCTTAGTTAACATTAAGCTGTCCGTGGCTCTTTTCTAATGTAACAAAGTACATTTCCCCTCTGTGGGACGAATAAAGGGATTCTGATTCTGATTCTGATTCCAGCATCAAAACTGGAAATGATTACAATCCTTGTAAACATTTGCAGTAATAACCCCCCCCCCCCCCCTGCAGAGATCGTTGACCGGGTGGTTCTGGGAGAGTGGCCCTGCCTCCGGCCCACCACTGACCCCCAGAGCCACAGCCCTGAGCTGGGCCAGCTGATGCAGCGCTGCTGGGCGGAGGAGCCCACCGAGAGACCCGAGTTCAACCACGTCCGGCTGCTGCTGCGCAAACAGAACAAGTGAGAGAGAATCAAACCAACTGCAGGAATGAGTCCTAAAACCCCCTTTCATCACTTCCTGTCCCCTGGTCTGAGAGTCAATGGTTCTCTGAATGTGTTTTTGGTTGTTAGCCTGAAATAAAGTCTGTGTCAGAAATCATAAAGTGGTGTTAATATGTGGAGATTATTCTGCTGAGCTAAACGTGTAAGTATCATAATGGAGGAATCCCATTGGACCAGGGAGATGCTGCCTTCAGGGACCCATTTCTGATTACTGTGGTACGCTGCGCCTAGTGTACGCTCCTCTCTGGCTCTGTGGGTTAATGTGTGTGTGTGTGTGTGTGTGTGTGTGTGTGTGTGTGTGTGTGTTGTGTGTGTGTGTGTGTGTGTGTGTGTGTGGTGTGTGTGTGTGTGTGTGTGTGTGTGTGTGTGTGTGTGTGTGTGTGTGTGTGTGTGTGTGTGTGTGTGTGTGTGTGTGTGTGTGTGTGTGTGTGTGTGGTGTGTGTGTGTGTGTGTGTGTGTGTGTGTGTGTGTGTGTGTGTGTGTGTGTGCAGGGAGTCGAGGACTAACATCCTGGATAACCTCCTCTCCCGGATGGAGCTGTACGCCAACAACCTGGAGGAGCTGGTGGAGGAGCGCACTCAGGCGTATCACGAAGAGAAGAGGAAAGCAGAGACCCTGCTGTACCAGATACTACCTCAGTGAGTACTCTGTGTACTAATACTACCTCAGTGAGTACTCTGTGTACTAATACTACCTCAGTGAGTACTCTGTATACTAATACTACCTCAGTGAGTACTCTGTGTACTTATACTACCTCAGTGAGTACTCTGTGTACTAATACTACCTCAGTGAGTACTCTGTGTACTAATACTACCTCAGTGAGTACTCTGTGTACTAATACTACCTCAGTGAGTACTCTGTGTACTAATACTATCTCAGTGAGTACCTCAGTGAGTACTCTGTATACTAATACTACCTCAGTGAGTACTCTGTGTACTAATACTACCTCAGTGAGTACTCTGTGTACTAATACTACCTCAGTGAGTACCTCAGTGAGTACTCTGTATACTAATACTACCTCAGTGAGTACTCTGTGTACTTATACTACCTCAGTGAGTACTGTGTACTAATACTGCTGTACCAGATACTACCTCAGTGAGTACTGCTGTACCAGCTACTACCTCAGTGAGTACTCTGTGTACTTATACTGCCTCAGTGAGTACTCTGTGTACTTATACTACCTCAGTGAGTACTGCGAGTACTTATACTGCTGTACCAGATACTACATCAGTAAGTGCTGCGTGTACTAGATACTACTTCTGTGAGTACTGTGTACTTATACTGCTGTACCAGATACTACCTCAGTGAGTACTGTGTGTACCAGATACTACCTCAGTGAGTACTGTGTGTACTAGATACTACCTCAGTGAGTACTGTGTGTACTAATACTGCTGTACCAGATACTACCTCAGTGAGTACTGTATGTACTAGATACTACCTCAGTGAGTACTGTGTGTACTAATACTGCTGTACCAGATACTACCTCAGTGAGTACTGTGTGTACCAGATACTACCTCAGTGAGTACTGTGTGTACTAGATACTACCTCAGTGAGTACTGTGTGTACTAATACTGCTGTACCAGATACTACCTCAGTGAGTGCTGTGTGTACTAGATACTACCTCAGTGAGTACTGTGTGTACTAATACTGCTGTACCAGATACTACCTCAGTGAGTACTGTGTGTACCAGATACTACCTCAGTGAGTACTGTGTGTACTAATACTGCAGACCCTACCTGTTCCACGTGTCTCCTCAGCTCGGTGGCGGAGCAGCTGAAACGGGGCGAGACGGTTCAGGCCGAGGCCTTCGACTCGGTCTCCATTTACTTCAGCGACATCGTGGGATTCACCGCCATCTCAGCTGAGAGCACGCCGCTGCAGGTTATTCAAATATATAATATATAAATATAATTATTAACAATCTGTAAACAGTACCAGCTACTTGGTTTATTTTCCATGCTGTACTTCTGCGCTATTTGTTTTTTACTAATTGTATTTTTTTATTATTTAACATACTAAATTATTAAATGTGAAACATATATTGATATTTAACATTTAATATATGTAATTATTCAATGTGTACATTTTATTATGATATATAACAACAATAAATATGTAAACATTGGAATATTACAGTGGTGTATTTATATTTATAAAGATATTATTGCTGAAAAAGTATTATACTTTCTGAGAGTGGTATCTGCAGGTAATCCTGTGAGATGCTTATGGGTGTGTATTATATTAATATTATAATATATGATATATAGTATTATAATATAATAAGGTCGTTTCTCTGCAGGTGGTGACGCTGCTCAACGACCTCTACACCTGTTTCGACGCCATCATTGACAACTTTGATGTTTACAAGGTGGAAAAACAACACAGACTATTCTCTTTAAGAAAATAATCTGAATGTGTTCATACGGAGGCCGAGAGGAGCTAACCCTCTACAACGACCAGAACATTTCCTTCAGGAGAAACGTGCTGATATAAGAACACAAATGTTCCAATGTGCGTCACTCTTTAGTGTCCCCTGGTCTCCCAGCTGTGTGCATCACTCTTTAGTGTCCCCTGGTCTCCCAGCTGTGTGCGTCACTCTTTAGTGTCCCCTGGTCTCTCAGCTGTGTGCGTCACTCTTTAGTGTCCCCTGGTCTCCCAGCTGTGTGCGTCACTCTTTAGTGTCCCCTGGTCTCCCAGCTGTGTGCGTCACTCTTTAGTGTCCCCTGGTCTCCCAGCTGTGTGCGTCACTCTTTGGTGTCCCCTGGTCTCCCAGCTGTGTGCGTCACTCTTTAGTGTCCCCTGGTCTCTCAGCTGTGTGCGTCACTCTTTAGTGTCCCCTGGTCTCCCAGCTGTGTGCGTCACTCTTTAGTGTCCCCTTGTCTCCCAGCTGTGTGCGTCACTCTTTAGTGTCCCCTGGTCCCCCAGCTGTGTGCGTCACTCTTTAGTGTCCCCTGGTCTCCCAGCTGTGTGCGTCACTCTTTAGTGTCCCCTGGTCTCCCAGCTGTGTGCGTCCCTCTTTAGTGTCCCCTGGTCTCTCAGCTGTGTGCCTCCCTCTTTAGTGTCCCCTGGTCTCTCAGCTGTGTGTGTCACTCTTTAGTGTCCCCTGGTCTCCCAGCTGTGTGCGTCACTCTTTAGTGTCCCCTGGTCTCCCAGCTGTGTGCGTCACTCTTTAGTTTCCCCTGGTCTCCCAGCTGTGTGCGTCACTTTTTAGTGTCCCCTGGTCTCCCAGCTGTGTGCGTCCCTCTTTAGTGTCCCCTGGTCTCTCAGCTGTGTGCGTCCCTCTTTAGTGTCCCCTGGTCTCTCAGCTGTGTGCGTCACTTTTTAGTGTCCCCTGGTCTCTCAGCTGTGTGCGTCACTCTTTAGTGTCCCCTGGTCTCTCAGCTGTGTGCGTCACTTTTTAGTGTCCCCTGGTCTCCCAGCTGTGTGCGTCACTTTTTAGTGTCCCCTGGTCTCCCAGCTGTGTGCTTCACTTTTTAGTGTCCCCTGGTCTCCCAGCTGTGTGCGTCACTTTTTAGTGTCCCCTGGTCTCCCAGCTGTGTGCGTCACTCTTTAGTGTCCCCTGGTCTCCCAGCTGTGTGCGTCACTCTTTAGTGTCCCCTGGTCTCCCAGCTGTGTGCGTCACTCTTTAGTGTCCCCTGGTCTCCAGCTGTGTGCGTCACTCTTTAGTGTCCCCTGGTCTCCAGCTGTGTGCGTCACTCTTTAGTGTCCCCTGGTCTCCAGCTGTGTGCGTCACTCTTTAGTGTCCCCTGGTCTCCAGCTGTGTGCGTCACTCTTTAGTGTCCCCTGGTCTCCGTTGTGTTCTGAGCTTCTTCAGCGTTTGGTTTCTGCAGCTTTTAGTAAACGCTGCATGTCTCCTCAAGTTGCTGAATGTTCTCTAAATGCTGCATGTGTTGTCAAGTTGCTGAAGATGTTTCTTCGTGTGGAACATTTGTGTTTTTATATCTGCATCCTTTCTGAAGCTGCAGCGTGTTTCTCCTGAGTTCTGGGCCGTAGAAGCGTGTTGGCACCTGGAGGCCGCCGTAGTTTCAATAAAAAAAGAAGAATTAGCTCTGTGTGGAAGTTTTTTAAACGTATACATTAAATACACGTAAAACGGAGTGCACCCCTCCCCCCTGCAGGTGGAGACGATTGGCGACGCCTACATGGTGGTGTCGGGGTTGCCGGTGAGGAACGGGAACTTGCACGGGAGGGAAATCGCCCGCATGGCGCTCGCCCTGCTGCACGCCGTGCGAACATTCAAGATCTGCCACCGGCCCGAGCAGCAGCTGGAGCTGAGGATAGGAGTTCACAGCGGTGAGTACACACACACAGCTCTAACCAAGACGTCAGAGAATACAGATCCATCTTCTACCGCAGGACGTGCAGAGGATGGGAGAGGAGCAGTAAATATGTGTCTGGGATAAAGATTGAAAAGATTCAAAGGCTTTATTGTCATACGCACAGCGAGTATCGCTCCTCCAACAATGCAAGGCTGTAAAGGTAATGAAAGCGACCCTCGGGCCGATAGCCGAGCAGCAGTCGTGTGCAAAGACCTAACATTCTGCACCAGGTTAAAAGATAACATGACGAGTAAGAACATATATATTATGGATTAAAACAAGTGAACCACTTCGGATAATTGAAATGTTAGTGTTTTTATTCTGCTCTAATTTTATGCACAACATACTTTTCTTCTGGATTTGTTGTGTAAAGAGTTGGATGTTTGCAAAAGCAAGTGCTGCATTACATTTAACGTTTACAATAATAGTATGTTAGATCAGAACTATTTTATATGCACTGCTCTGGAGATGCATGAGCTTGCCGTGTGTTTCCTCTGCAGGGCCGGTGTGTGCGGGGGTGGTGGGTCTGAAGATGCCGCGCTACTGTTTGTTCGGAGACACCGTCAACACGTCGTCACGCATGGAGTCCAGCGGCGAAGGTCAGACATGTCTTTATGTTGTGCAGATTCATCAGTATGTTTTCACTTAGCTGCACAGCTCTGATGTACTGCACACTAAAGAGTGACGCACACAGCTGAGAGACCAGGGGACACTAAAGAGTGACGCACACGGCTGGGAGACCAGGGGACACTAAAGAGTGACGCACACGGCTGAGAGACCAGGGGACACTAAAGAGTGACGCACACGGCTGGGAGACCAGGGGACACTAAAGAGTGACGCACACGGCTGAGAGACCAGGGGACACTAAAGAGTGACGCACACGGCTGGGAGACCAGGGGACACTAAAGAGTGACGCACACGGCTGAGAGACCAGGGGACACTAAAGAGTGACGCACACGGCTGGGAGACCAGGGGACATTAAAGAGTGACGCACACAGCTGGGAGACCAGGGGACACTAAAGAGTGACGCACACGGCTGGGAGACCAGGGGACACTTAAGAGTGACGCACACAGCTAGGAGACCAGGGGACATTAAAGAGTGTCGCACACGGCTAGGAGACCAGGGGACATTAAAGAGTGACGCACACAGCTGGGAGACCAGGGGACATTAAAGAGTGACGCGCACAGCTGGGAGACCAGGGGACACTAAAGAGTGACGCACACAGCTGGGAGACCAGGGGACACTAAAGAGTGACGCACACGGCTGGGAGACCAGGGGACACTAAAGAGTGACACACACAGCTGGGAGACCAGGGGACACTAAAGAGTGACGCACACGACTGGGAGACCAGGGGACACTTAAGAGTGACGCACACAGCTAGGAGACCAGGGGACATTAAAGAGTGACGCACACGGCTAGGAGACCAGGGGACATTAAAGAGTGACGCACACAGCTGGGAGACCAGGTGACACTAAAGAGTGACGCACACGGCTGGGAGACCAGGGGACACTAAAGAGTGACGCACACGGCTAGGAGACCAGGGGACATTAAAGAGTGACGCGCACAGCTGGGAGACCAGGGGACATTAAAGAGTGACGCACACAGCTGGGAGACCAGGGGACATTAAAGAGTGACACACACGGCTAGGAGACCAGGGGACATTAAAGAGTGACGCGCACAGCTGGGAGACCAGGGGACATTAAAGACTGACGCACACAGCTGGGAGACCAGGGGACATTAAAGACTGACGCACACAGCTGGGAGACCAGGGGACACTAAAGAGTGACGCGCACACCTGGGACGGGGCGCTTGGTGACGTTCAGGATTAAAAAGCTGAACAACTGTCTCTGTTGTTGGAAACTTACCTAAAATGTTTTATGGTCTTATTTTAACAATGTGATCACATGACTCCTTCTGATGGTACTGCAGATCAGCTGAAAGCTAGCTAGCTAACGTGTGTGTGTGTGTGTGTGTGTGTGTGTGTGTGTGTGTGTGTGTGTGTGTGTGTGTGTGTGTGTGTGTGTGTGTGTGTGTGTGTGTGTGTGTGTGTGTGTGTGTGTGTGTGTGTGTGTGTGTGTGTGTGTAGCACTGAAGATCCACGTGTCGGCGGCGACTCACGACATCTTGCAGGAGTTTAACTGCTTCCAGCTGGAGAGGAGAAGAGAGATCGACGTGAAGGGCAAAGGGAAGATGACCACCTATTGGCTCCTGGGCGAGAGCGACAGCCAATGAAAAGACAGCTTCCAGGGGACAGAGAGGAGGGGACAGAGGGACTCCAACAAACTAGAGAGTAGGGCGCGCTGACAGAGGAGACCCTTCTGAGACCTGTGCAAAGACATCAATAATAACTTGATACCGTGTGCTGCAGGTCTCATGTGTTGTTTGTACGAGTTAGGGTGGGTTTACAGTTGATTTGAAGGTTGTACGTCTAAGGTTCGGAGCTCCACTGCTGACAGGCTGTGCTCGGCTCTTTAACAGAGGTTCAGGAAGTTAACCAGACGTAGATTAGAAAAAACAAACCGTTACAGTGTGTTTGGAATGGAGAATGGGAAGGAGAGAAAGAAAATGAAGGAGTGGAAAGACAGAAGAGAAATGCCCAGTCCTCGTCCTCCTGTCAGAGGACATTCAGATGGATTCAGACTGGAGGAAGATGCTGCTGCACTCACGACGTACATGTGTGAACAACGTAAAGGGAGGGAGAGTGCGAGGACAGAGGAAACACTTGTGAAACCTGTGCAGGAACAGAATGTAAAGGAAGGAGCAGAGACATGCAAAGAGACAACAATACTAACTTCATATGGTGTGCTTCAGGTCTCATGTGTTGTTTGTACCAGTTAAGGTGGCTTTACGGTTGATTTGCAGGTTGTGAAGAAGGCAGGAAGAGACGTCCCCGGTCCTCGTCCTCCGGTCAGAAGACTTTTTCATTTCTGATGGATTCAGACTTGAGGAAAATGCTGCTGCACTCACGACGAACCTGCACAAACTAGAGAGGCGCGCTGACAGAGGAGACCCTTCTGAGACCTGCACAAACTAGAGAGGCGCGCTGACAGAGGAGACCCTTCTGTGACCTGCACAAACTAGAGAGGCGCGCTGACAGAGGAGACCCTTCTGAGACCTGCACAAACTAGAGAGGCGCGCTGACAGAGGAGACCCTTCTGAGACCTGTGCAAACTAGAGAGGCGCGCTGACAGAGGAGACCCTTCTGAGACCTGCACAAACTAGAGAGGCGCGCTGACAGAGGAGACCCTTCTGAGACCTGCACAAACTAGAGAGGCGCTCTGACAGAGGAGACCCTTCTGAGACCTGTGCAAACTAGAGAGGCACGCTGACAGAGGAGACCCTTCTGAGACCTGTGCAAAGACATCAATAATAACTTGATATCATGTGCTGCAGGTCTCATGTGTTGTTTGTACGAGTTAGGGTGGGTTTACGGTTGATTTGAAGGTTGTACGTCAACAGTTCTGCTGTCAGTTACTTAAAAATAAATACACATATTCTTTAAAAAAAAAAAGTGTTCATACTAGATAACACATAAGCCCACACCAAAGTGTATTAATAGATGAACTGGTGATGACATTTTAAACAATATTCTTCTACAGTTCACCAGCGAGAACACTTCTTCAGATGAATACTCACTGGTTGGTTTATTGAAGGATGGTTTGGTTCGTTAGATTAGAGATCAGCCTTTTGTTTCACACAGTGGATGAAACAGCTGTTTAGTGACTAGTTCTGTGATCAACTGAAGCAGGGCTCATTCATTAGTCATTCAATCATCCACAAACACCTCGCTAAAGATGCTCAATGAGGCCCAGCTTTGCAGAACATCAGTAAACAGGATTAGATCTCGGTGCCCGTTCTCTGTAAGTGTTTCCTTTTTGGTTTTTCAATTAAAAAATGAAATAACATGAAGTGTTTTTGTATTATTGTGTCGGGAAAACGTCAGCAGTGCAGACTGCAGGGGATAAAAACCTGTGGCAGTTATTAGACAATGATTTTCTTTACCAATGCATGCATTCATGAACTGAGAAATACTTTTTATGTCAACGTGTCTTACATTTTGAAATCTTTTACATTTTTGTATGTAGGATACTGTAGATATTGCAGATTCTCTCGCGTCCAGGAGAGAAGCTTAAAATAAAGAGTCTCTGAAAAGGTTCAAATTGGTACTTTAATTAAGTCACGTGGTAATAAAACAAACAGAAGGTACAGTAGTGAGGAGACAAAAGCAGATGATGTCTCGCAGCTGGTACCGTGGAAAGAGCGAGCACACGTTGATTCTCCTGCTTGAATCTATCCCTCGCTCCTCCTCTCTGGGGGCTGTGACGTCGGGGTCCTCCCATCGTGTTCTTCTTATGTCCAATATTGCGTAAAACAGAGGATTTAACGTTGTATATTCATTGCATCACTCCACACACCTTTTCTCCTTCTACTCTCTTTCATGAATTTTTATTTAATGCATTATAACGGCTGCAATCGTTACGTTCGTAAAACCGGAAGTTAAGCTCACTGTTGGTATTCCGGAGACTTCTTCCGGAATAGCTTTTCAAAATAAACTTTAGCATCAACGTTAGCCACAGGCGAATGCTAACCGGAAATGTTTTTACAATAAAACAGTTTTAAGATTACTGTATGTTTAACCTAAATTACGTCATTAAACATTGATTTTCATTTCTTACAGTACCATAATATGTTTATTAGAAAGCGAAGTTCAACACTGTATCTACAGCAGGGGATCCAACACAATGAAAGATTGAAGAGTATGTGCATCATTAGCTTGTTGCTAACAAGTGTCTAAATGAGACGACTAAATGTCATCACTCCCAACATTAGCCACCTTTAGCTTAGCGGTGGTGACGTGAAGTCATGCGACCGTGCTGTAGTTCCTTTATAGCCCAACATTAGCCACTTTTAGCTTAGCGGTGGTGACGTGAAGTCATGTGACCGTGCTGTAGTTCCTTTATAGCCCAACATTAGCAACTTTTAGCTTAGCGGTGGTAACGTGAGGTCATGTGACCGTGCTGTAGTTCCTTTATAGCCCAACATTAGCACCATAGAGAGCATCCTGACCTTCTACAGGTGCACCATAGAGAGGATCCTGACCTTCTACAGGTGCACCATAGAGAGCATCCTGACCTTCTACAGGTGCACCATAGAGAGCATCCTGACCTTCTACATTTGCACCATAGAGAGTATCCTGACCTTCTACAGGTGCACCATAGAGAGCATCCTGACCTTCTACAGGTGCACCATAGAGAGCATCCTGACCTTCTACAGGTGCACCATAGAGAGGATCCTGACTGGCTGCATCACGGCCTGGTACGGCAGCTGCACCGCCCTCAACCGTAAGGCTTTACAGAGGGTGGTGAAAACTGCACAGAACATCACCAGGACGGAGCTGCCATCCATGGAGGACCTCTACTCCCAGCGGCTCAGGAAGAAATCCCTCAAGATTATAAAAGACCCCCGTCACCCCGGCCACAAACTGTTCTGTCTGCTGTCGTCTGGCAGGCGGTACCGCAGCATCCGGACTAAAACCACCAGACTCAGAGACAGTTTCATCCCACAGGCCATAAGACTGTTAAACACCTGCACTTTTGAAAGAACATAATAACATTAATCTGGCTGCTACTTAGGAATTATGTATCTAATATATCCAGGGGTGCACATAACTGGTACGCAGGTACGCATGCGCGGCAAACATCTGAAATGCATACCGTCACTTGTCTCACTAAGCGCATTTGCGTAAGGCGCTTCGATCACTGGACGATAGAGTCAGTCGCCGTGCGCACAGACGGGGCTGCTGTTAACGTCGGTGTGTACAACGGAATTGTGCCACAACTTCTGGCGCGAGTGTTCCACTAGCGCCCACCCCCACCCCTCCCGTCGACGTTCAATACCACACCCCCAGCCACACCCCTCCCGTCGACGTTCAATACCACACCCCCAGCCACACACCCCCAGCCACACCCCCCCAGCCGACGTTCGCGAAACAGAGGGGCTGAACACATAACCTTGCGTACCAAACATTGTCTCCTGGTACTCATTTGAGTAACTCACTAAGAAAGTTATGTGCACCCCTGAATATATCATTCCAATCACTTGCACTATTTCACTATTTCACTTTTTTACTATTTTTCCTTTTGTATTTACTATTTACTTGCACTGTTTATCTGTTTTATTGTGTTGCACTGTTGGAGGAGCCTGTGATTTAAGATTGTCATCGTCATAACTACTGTAGCTATGCACATATGACCAATAAAAGCCTTGAACCTTGAACCTTGAGGTGTGTGTGCACAGCTCACAAAAACAGCTTTAAAGGTTTTCAAAACTCATTAAATCATCTTAAAAGAACAGTTCTTGTACACCCGAAAGTCTTCCTGATAATAACCAATACATCTAAATTAAACACAGATTATAATTAGTTGTACCTGGATCATTGTTAGTAAATTATGTGGAGAAAAGGGCGTTATTTATATTTAAATGCCTCATTGTCTGCAAATAAAAGTAAAAAATAGATTCTCATTTGATGTCAACATTATTATTATTATTTATATTATTAAGGCGCTCTAATGTTTAGGAGTGAAATGAAAATGAAAACTGAACTTTTTGTCAATTTAATTATTTAATTTCCATTTTGCAGTTATTTCGTTTTACCCAAAAAAGTACCAGAAGTCGTTGAAGATTAGAAATGTCTCTTTTGATAATTAATATTTAATGTTAGCAGCCGGACTTCCTCTCCGTTTTGTTGACACCAAAACACACATTTGATTTATAAAGGTTTATTATTATGAAGCAAGAGAAGCCAAAGTTGTGCGTACGATAAAAGTTATCTCAATAAAACACAGTTAAGAAACTAAAAATGATTTCAGCAGCTCTCCAATAGACGGGATATCAAATGAGGAAATCAGACCTGGGTTAAAACTATTTAATAAAATCACTTTTATTTCCATTTTTTTGGCCCAAAAATCAGAAGAAGACATTTTTCTTATTGTATATTTAATGCTCAGATTTCTCCTCACATTTCAGGAAACAGGTCCTTGGCATTGGCATGACTGGATCGATTGTGAACTGAACCAGAGCTTCCAACAGTAAATGTTAGGCTGGCAGAGGGTACGGCCAGCGCCGCTGGATGTGGCCATAGCTCTTCCGGATTGGTCCATTTCGTTCCGGGTACCGCATGACATCAGGCCGTACCCGGAACTAAATGGAAGACTCAAATGGGCAGTGACGTATCTCCAACGAGGCGTTTTGGGGAGGTATTTTCTGTGTTAGAGTTTTACTCGCTACAGGGTGTACTTTGAGGGTTTTGACTCTGCACACCATTTACATGCATAAAAACCTTCATAACACACAAGGGGACGGGTAATAACCGGAAAAGCATGACTTGGGAGCTTTAAGAGAAATTTCGTTTCATTTTTTAAATGCACATTTCATTTTGTGGGACTGTAATTGTGTGTGTGTGTGTGTGTGTGTGTGTGTGTGTGTGTGTGTGTGTGTGTGTGTGTGTGTGTGTGTGTGTGTGTGTGTGTGTGTACATCTTTTGAAGAAGCTTACTTTGTTTTTAATTCATGTTTTTAATACTAATGCATTTATTCACAGAGGCAGTTTGAACTACAAGTTGAATCACATATCAAATTTAGGATTTCTGCATTTAAATCATCCTCTTTATCTCAGTAAGTGCAAAAAGTAATTAAACAGACCGACAGGAAGTAAACACTAAAGGGAACAACAGAAGAAGACAGACAGGAAGTAAACACTAAAGGGAACAGCAGAAGAAGACAGACAGGAAGTAAACACTAAAGGGAACAGCAGAAGAAGACAGACAGGAAGTAAACACTAAAGGGAACAGCAGAAGAAGACAGACAGGAAGTAAACACTAAAGGGAACAGTAGAAGAAGACAGACAGGAAGTAAACACTAAAGGGAACAGCAGAAGAAGACAGAGAGGAAGTACACACTAAAGGGAACAGCAGAAGAAGACAGACAGGAAGTAAACAGGTACACAGTATGGGCTCTGCAGTGTGATATAAAAAAAAATGAACAGAGAATTAATAATAATATAATTTGTTTTTATAACATATGTCTCCCCCTGATGTCAATTGGTTTGTATTCAAAATATATGATGTTCATATATGTTTCTGTATAAAATAAATTAAAGAAAAGGTGGCTTTAGGGTCTGCTGGCTGACGGCGGTCAGACCACCACATCACCTGACCAATCAGGTACGGTAACAATTTAGTACCTGACACCCATCTCTAGTTACAGGTAATACAAAACTAGCAGGGGCTTTCACACACACTCCACAAGGTTTTTTTCCTTGAGCTCTTCGTAAAGATGCGGGTCCAGCTCACGGAGAGCATTGATCAGAACCCTGCTGGCTGCAGCTCCTTTTCTTCGCACCACGTCCACCACCTCTCGTGCTCTGTCCTTTCGGGGTTTGGTTCTGGCTATCTCCATTTCAGATTCATTGATCACTTCAGACTCAAAGAGTTTATCCAGAAGGTCGTCCAGCACAGGTAGAGTCACTCTTTGAATGAACTGTGTCCGAAAGAGCCGCCACTGGTCTGCTGGGACTCTGCTCTCTGCTGGGACTCTGCTCTCTGCTGGGACTCTGCTCTCTGCTGGGACTCTGCTCTCTGCTGGGACTCTGCTCTCTGCTGGGACTCTTCTCTCTGCTGGGACTCTGCTCTCTGCTGGGACTCTGCTCTCTGCTGGGTCTCTGCTCTCTGCTGGGACTCTGCTCTCTGCTGGGACTCTGCTCTCTGCTGGGACTCTGCTCTCTGCTGGGACTCTGCTCTCTGCTGGGACTCTTCTCTCTGCTGGGACTCTGCTCTCTGCTGGGACTCTGCTCTCTGCTGGGTCTCTGCTCTCTGCTGGGACTCTTCTCTCTGCTGGGACTCTGCTCTCTGCTGGGACTCTGCTCTCTGCTGGGACTCTGCTCTCTGCTGGGTCTCTGCTCTCTGCTGGGACTCTTCTCTCTGCTGGGACTCTGCTCTCTGCTGGGACTCTGCTCTCTGCTGGGACTCTGCTCTCTGCTGGGTCTCTGCTCTCTGCTGGGACTCTGCTCTCTGCTGGGACTCTGCTCTCTGCTGGGTCTCTGCTCTCTGCTGGGACTCTTCTCTCTGCTGGGACTCTTCTCTCTGCTGGGACTCTGCTCTCTGCTGGGACATTTCTCTGGGATAATTGCCGCCTTGGAACTGGAAGATAAACAGGGAAAATACTTTTTTTGAACCAACAATCACATTAAACAGATCTCTTAAAATTAAAGTAACCCAACATTCCCAGAGGTGGATTTCTGTTCACTTCAAGTTATAATATGTAAAATGTCCTCATTAAAAGGTCTAAAAACTCCTACACCGATGTTATTCATGTTTTGTTGAGTTGTGTACAAACATTATCTCAAATGGTTCAGAGAGACGTGTAATTTTAATCAAGCGAACGTAAGTACGTTCATCACGGTCTCCTGTAATGGTGGCGTATCCACTTAAGCATTAGAAGCTGAAGACTACAACTCCCATGATGCCACGCTGTTTCACCACCACACTAGTTTTTACTATGGTTTTAGAATATAACAGGTTGTGTGTTTAATGTCGTAATGATGCTCTGCCATGGAGCCTTGATAGAGAATGCTATGAGATGGAGCTTTAGAGTTACCCAGTCTATCACTGGGTCTGAGCTCAGGTGGAGTCTTTACCTTCCAGTGACACGAGACAAGACCAGACTACGTTTCGACCTTGGTCCTGGAGCTTCAAATCCACTCTCTCTGTGCTCGTCTTCAGGGAAACTTGAAATGTCGGGTGGTAGTTTGGTCCAAACCTGGATTCAAATGTTTTACTCTGGAAACCAGAAGCAGAAGTTACAAGTGTATCTGTTTCTTTCCTGATTGTGGATCCACATCCAGATACATGTGTGTTAATGATCATTGTGTTTCTTTAGAGGAGTATCAGTGACTCACCTCAGGCTGAATGAAGAAGCCCTCAGGTTCACAGTGCACACTGTAACTGTGATGAATGTCCAGCTTACAGTCGGAGGAGTTTGGGATGTTCTCAGCACAGCTGTGTTGATCAGCAACCTTCAGTAACAGGGTAACTTTAGTTATGCTCAGATAGTCAAGGCAACTTTATTTAAAGATCACATCAAACAACAACAAACGTTGACAGACCTGAGGCCTGTACTACGAAGCTGGTTCAACCTAACCTGGATATGTTTGAGTTAGCCGGTTGGCCCAATCCAAAACATACGCGCTCTCGCTAAACTGTTCTACGACGCTGGTTATCAAGTGGATCGCTCAAGCCAGCCGTGTCCTATCTAGTTAGGTGTGCGTTCACATGAAAGGGGTGGTATTTGGAGCATTCGACCAATCACAAACATGGACAAGCATACTGACAGCGCAGCGTCATACTTCCTGAATGAAAAGTGAACTTTAATATTAGTCAAATATGAAGAAGTTAAACTTTAAACATCCATGACTTAAACACTTTATCCAGGATAAAAGCCACATAGCTGCAGCTGCAAGGTGAATACAGCTGGTAAAAGAAAAAGTGTTTGAATGCGTACATTAACAGGTTTATGAAATCACTGCCCCGTCTAAGACACGATCTGACTTTAATTAGGAGAATTTGACTCGAGTGTTTCGTCAACTTAATGTGTTGCTTAAAATAATACTTCTGCATACAGTATGTGACACTGTGAGTGTTGCATGGCCAGATACGGCTCAAGAAGCTGACTCAGATAAGGAAATATATGATACATTATGATGTGATATGATATGAATGATAATGGGACACATCGACGTCTGCACTCACAGTGCCGCAGACTGTACTTAATGTTACTCTGATCCGGTTACTTATGTTGAGGCAGATATTTAAGTAAGCTTTCTTAACGCTAATGTTATAATAGTCAGATTGCTCTGAAGATGGGAGGGGATATTCTATTAATTTTCACGTTCACACAGTCAGTTGATTTTTGCCGGCCGTCTTTCCTGCAACGGCAGTTTTTCTGTATTTCCTCTATCCTGTAATATGACTTGATCGCTTTAAACTCCGCACACGGAGCTCTGATTGGTCAGCAGGCAGTGCTTTCACTGAGTTGATCTCTTAGCCTGCCACCTAACCTGCTCCGGAGCAGGTTTGCCGCTCAGCATAAGTTACCATGGAAATCTAGCCTGCTAAAAAGAGAACCAGCGTCGTAGGACCGGAAAGCCCGAGATTTCCCTGAAGTTAGCCGGCTAAGCGAAAATCCAGCTTCGTAGTACAGGCCTCTGCTCCACAAAGTGATGAGATATACAATCAATCACAACTTAACTATAAGGATATATTGCCTTTCTAAAGGAATATTCAAAATAGATTCTTTTAATTCTTGGATATAAGCTACTGAAGAAGCTATTCCTTTGGCACAGGGCTCACTTCAGTGTCTGTTTGAGACACACCAGGATGTCAGCTAACTTTGTTGTAATTGTACTAGAGGCTATGAGGACGGGCGTTTCTAAAATAGCTAGAAAGTCAGCTCAGGGAGTGCAGGGGGGGTGGGGGGGGGGGGGATTAAACACAGGACACCGGGGGGCGGAGCTCGTGTCCTGAGTGAAACCAAAAGCTGAGTTATTTTTATTCACAATGTCACATTAATCCAAACCATGATCTTATTTTTTATGCCTGCACAAGTAGTGTTGGTACCTAAACCTGATCCTGAGCTGTAACAGGACAGAGTGTCTCTGAGTATCGTGTCACAACGTTAACCAAAACACAAACCGTCTGTGTCAGTTATACAACACAACAGGCTGCTGCCCAAGCTGTAAAGTATGGCTGGTAGGGATGAGATCACGTGGCAGTGATTCATCTCAGCAGGTCTTTCAGTTCTGTGTGATGTGTTTACTATTCATGCCATCAGTTTCCGCAGACAGAAAGACATGCTGAGAGAGAATCATACAAAACCACAAAGAGCGATCTGAAGATTTACGGTTCAGATAGATCTTACTCTTCTCCCAGCACGAGAAGGTTTGAGAAGAGGAGCAGTGAGTGTGGAAACAGCTGTGGTTTAAAACCAGAGTTTAGTCTGATGGTGAGCACACACTTTACCTCCTTCACAAGGACGTTGTTCTGCAGCAGATGTACATCCAGTATTTGCTCCTCTCTGCCCGGGGGTCGAAGGAACAGCAGAATTTGGCCATGTATCGGCCACCCTAGAAGCCTGTTGAATGTATTGATGATAAGGCCAAAGAGAGAGAGGTGAGGCACCTTCACCACCACGTGAGTGTGTGTGACCTCCAGCGGCTCCAAGATGCTCAGGCCTTCATCAGTGATGTGGACGACAGACAACAGGCCGTCCAGGAGCAGCGCTGTGGAGCAAAGAGCTGGTCATCTGTTGCTTTGCTGCTGAAACAGCTTCATCATATTCAATGTCTCACCACTTTAGTTCAGAGCTAATGTTCATCTAATGTCATTCACTTTGGAGCCTCACTAGGATGCTCCAGTTTATATCCTCCACCTTTTATTCTAATGTTTCATTATTGATCTGCCCCCCTGTGATCAGAAAGAGCAGAAAGAGCAACAGATGGATAACAAAGTAAGAATGATTCAAACTGCTAGCTTAGCATCACAACAGTAACAGAGAGTTAGCGTTGAGTTAGCACTGTTAGCAGCTGAGCATGCTGTGGACTGACCAATCACAGTTTACATCTCTTTAATATTACAGTGAGGAGACTGCAGAGGGCCCAAAGACAATCCAACTCAGTATTTAGAGCTGCATTGCATCGTCTGCTTCAATAATGATCAATAATTATGTCATGCAACCAACCCGGTATCACGGCAAGACGTGAACATGTGACGATCTACCATCACATGGTCTACCGCGCCTATTGGTCGGTTTTTATTGTCAAAATGAGATGTTTTTAATTTATTTTTTAATCGTCAGACTCGATTTCGCCGATTTTCTTGTTTCCCTAGCTGGTCGACACCTCTTTTAGCAGAAACAAAGGCTACATTAATGTATTAAATCCATGTTAATCCATGTGTGTGGATCATAGACTGGTGTGGATGTGGAATTAACGGACGTGATGTTGTGCGATTGCGTTGCCAGGCAACGCAATTTACAAACTCTTCAACTACAACTTAAAAAAAAAATTCAATAACGTGCTTTAACCAGTAGGTGTCCCTTTCTATCAGCTGTGCACCGTTATGGTGTAAATACAGCCTATCTACCAATTGGATCAAATATAAAAGTCAGCCGAATTAGTATTGATACTGCAAGGAGACGTATTGTGTGAAAAGAAATGTAAGATGTTGTTTAATTGCTGATATATTTATGATCCACGTCACGTTTTCAGTTTTGGCGGCAGTGCTTCCTGTTTGTCCAGAAGTCTTCTCATCAGGGCTCTATAAATACAGAACTACGGCAGATATGTCATATTTAATGCAGCCGAGCCGTGTATTACAATGCCGTTATGTGATGACCTCCAAAGAGAAAAGCAAGCACACTCGGAATAAAGTATTATTTTATTTTTAAATTTTCTTTCGGATTTCACATCAACAGTAAGTCCGGTTAACTAAGATGTCCGTGCGGAACAATACCCCCAACCCATAGATCCGTGGGTGAATAATGTCAATCACCACATTACACACATCCCTTCACATTTACATTTGAATTTACATTAAAGTATTTCGTGAGGCCTTCTAAAATGTTTTTAAATATAATTAGGGTTGTAGTTGAAGAGTTTGTAAATTGCGTTGACTGGCAACGCAATCGCACAACGTCACATCCGTTAATTCCACATCCACACCAGTCTATGATCCACACACATGGATTAACATGGATTTAATACATTAATGCAGCCTTTGGTTCTGCTAAAAGAGGTGTCGACCAGCTGGGGCAACAAGAAAATTGGCGAAATCGAGTGTGACGATTAAAAAATAAATTAAAAACATCTAATTTTGACAATAAAAACCGACCAATAGGCGCGGTAGACCATTTGCTTGGCACTTCCGGGTATTTCTCACTGGTTGGGCCATGTTAACAATACCGTGTAACTGTCACGTTTGAAGGGACGAAACCGTGACATATTCACGTCTCCCAGCATGGTAGATCGTCACATGTTCACGTCTTGCCGTGATACCGGGTTGCATGCAACACATCGACTAAATGGATGTTTTATAATTTCATTCTTCTTTTTTTGGGGACAA